CTGGTGCTGCCAGGAGCAGACGTGTCTCCTTGTCATGAAAAGTCCTAAGTTATTAAAATATTTTAAATGCCATATTCTGCAGTCTTTGAAAGATATGAAGAATGCCTATCTAACTGAAATATATCTCTATATATCTAGAAAATCTAACTAACATGACTACAAGCTTTACTATCATCGATGATTATCCATTAGCAACCTATATTTTCTAATTATACATTACATTTTTAAATGAACTACACAACTACAATACCTTAATCAAGATCAAAAATACATATAACAAAATTGACCATAAAATCCATACCAATGCAAATTATTCATATCTATATCAATCTCCTACTGAGTTTAACTGGAATAGAATTGCAGAAGTCTTTGTCACACAGACATTTTAAGAGGAACTGGGGGCTAGAGAGGTAGCTCAGCAGTTAAAAGCAGTGGCTGCTCTTCCAGAGGTCCTGAGTTCAATTTCTGACAACCACATGGTGGCTCACAACCATCTGTTATGAGATCTGGTGCCCTCTTCTGACATGTAAGTATATATGCAGAGCACTCGTATATAAACCATAAATAAAGCAAACTTAACCAAAGAAGGAAATAAGATTTAAAAAAAAAAAAAAGAGGATCTGTGTTCATCTTAGATGTGTAGCCTTGAGCTTAGAAACTGTGTTAAGCCTTTTTGTGAGTGGGGATGGGGGTGTGTAAAATCATGTGTCACTTTTAGACCCAAGTTGAGACAGACTGGGAAAAGGTCTGTCCAAAGTTTGTCAAGAGAGTCTTTGCCATCTTCCAATAGAGCGCCAGATGTTCTGCCTAGACCACTGTTTAAAATGACATCCTAAGACAGGTGTTTTATCGATTTCTCTCTGTCATAGCCTGGATAGCTAATTGAGGGTTTGCTCTTTTCTGTATATACAACCTCAGGGAAGTTGTATTTGGAAATTTTTCTAGGGGCTGGCATAGCTCTTTGGTTCCACTTTCAAGAATTCCGCAGAAGCATTCAGAAACTGGGGTCATCTTGAAAACCTTCCTTTGCCCATTGCGTGGGCCAGAGCAGGTGCAGTTTAGAATAACCTCAAGAGGGGTTGAGCTTTGATAGGCAACAGGCTGTGTTGAGCTGGCCCAGCCTGTGCAGCTTTACTAAATCAAAATTAAATGTTAATGCTGGCAATGTCTGTGCCCCTCTGCTGGGGAAACTAAAATGCAGAGAAACGAGGCTCTAACAGCTGCCAGTAATCGGGCCACTGCCTCCCCCGAGCCTGGGCTCTCAGGATTTACACCAACACCTGATAATGGTCATGTCGTGTGAAATGCTCACCTTCATCGAGAGGTCGGACTGGAGGAGTGTGTTCCTGCAGAGGCTGAAGGTCCTTGAGAGAAACACAGGGAGGGCATTGATGCACAGAAAACAGACATAAAAAGCAGAATGGTCCTATGCCCCCCCAAAATAATGTCATTCCCAGGCAGCTGCTGAGGCTGCCCTGTAGCTGCTGTGATCAGCCCATGCTTCAGGGATGGTCGGCTTCCCCACAGGCCTATCATGGACACGTTTGTTGTCCTTTCCTATAGAACGAGATATCCCAGCACTCTGTGACGTTCTTGCCCATTGAGTGCCGAGACACTCTTGCCCATCATTTATTCCGAATGCATCGCCGCAGGCTATGGATCCTTCAAGAACCATGGTTTCATTCACAAATAATGGCCGTCTGGATTCCCGTGTTCGATACAGGCCACAGAGAAAGCTGAGGCCACCGACACCATTCCAGGTTTCCACTCCTCCAGAACGGGGTCTGTTGTGTGAGGAGCGTTGGTCCCCCAGCCTTGGAACAAACCCTGGATCCTCTGTGTGGCTTTTTCCCTGGTGAGTCAAATGGCCTCGGAGGAATGAGTCCTAACCCAGAGCTCTTAAATCATCATGAGAATTTCACATGTGTGGTTGCTGGGGGCAGCGGAGACCTCACAGGTTTAAAAAGAAAAAAGAGGAGAGGGAAGAGGAGGAGAGAAGAGGAAGTAGCAGCAGCTGTTCTTGCTTCTCAGGCAATGCCAACCACTCGAGTTGAGTCGAGTCAGGAGTGGCTGTTTGTGGTAGGCACCGAGTCCTTCTGCGTGAGGTTCTTACAAGAGGCATGTGGAAAAACTGTCACATGGGACTCGTGAAAAAGAGATGAACTGGTCCTTTGAGTTTGAGGCTAGCCTGTCTACATAGTAAGTTCCAGGTCAGCCAGGGCTACATCATGAGACCCTGTCTAAAGCAATGAAAACTTAACTCTTTACTGACTGGAAAGATGATTCAGTTGTTAAGAGAGGACTTGATGCTCCTGTGGAGGACCCAGGCTCAGTTCCTGAGGACCCAGGCTCAGTTCCTACCCACTCCCATCCAGAGGCTCACAGCTGCCTACAACACATAATTTCAGCTCCAGGGTATCCAATTTCCCCTTCTGGCCTCTAAAGGCACCCTCACTCCTGTACATACCCACACACAGACACACCATAAATACATATTTATAAGAGAACTAAATAGGCTGTTAGTTCTCATACCCATCCTCAGCTTCCAGCTTCTCTGAAGCGCATGGTCTGGTGTCTGAACATTTGCAGTCTCCAGGCTCTCTTCTCCAAATGGTATTCAGGTTTAGCCGATGGGGACCCCCCCTCGAATCCCAGAGTTGATAAAAAGATATTTTAATTGGAAGACACATGAAATCCAGCAGATGCTGGAAGAAGTCTTCTAGGAGTTGCTCTTATCTAGCCAAAAGGAGAGACTTAAGAAATGAAGCCACTTCAGATCTCCTTGAGCCAGGAGAAATCTCTGTAGATTCCCTTTCTGGGGACAATACGGGCAGGCAGAAGACAGATGACACACACTGCACACTGTGTCCCAGACTCTCCTGTTTCCCCTTATTCTTACCCTATGGGATTAACAGTTCCTCACAAATATCTTGGCTTTTGTGTACCTGCACATACAAAGTACACAACACACTCACTCACACGAATAGAGAGAATGTAATTTAAATGACTTTTAAAACCCCTAGACATAGGAAATCTGATGGCTTTTTTTCTCTCTTGAAATCCCTCCTCACTCCGTCACTTTTTCCGCAATCTCTCACTGACCTGTAACAATTCTTAATATCACCTGTTTCTGCTTTGCAGACTCCTGTGAGTCTATGTCATTTCGCTGTCCTGAGATAATAAGCTTGGAACCACCACCCCGGACCGATCTGTGATGACCGCGGGTGTCCAGCACCTTAGGTCCCTGGGTCATGCACGACTGGGCTGTGAAGGACTCTCAGAAACCCTGACCTGGGGCTGCAGAGATGGCTCAGCAGTTGAGAGCACCAGCTGCTCTTTTGGAGGACCCAGGTTCAATTCCCAGCACCCGCATAGCAGCTCACAACCGCCAGTGAGTCTAGGTCCAGGGGATCCAGCACCCTCTTATGACAACTGCATAGGGAGCACTGGTGAGGACCTCACGGCGACCTTGGCCCTTTGACAACGGTCCAGCATTTCAGCACTGCAGACCACACTTCTCCAGCCCCCTTTTGCTTTCATTTTTAATGATTCTCATTATTAATGTCTTTCCGTTCGGGAAATTTTGTGTGGGATTGTTTATATCTTTGTAAAGGATGAAAACACGTACAATGGTATCCTCTCTAAACAATATAATTCTTTAGAAAAAAACATTCCCATTGTGCCCTCCTAATTACACCAAGAACAGGAAAGTTAGAGATTTTCCAGACACCCCTGACCCCAAGGACGAAAAACCTACAATCTAGATCAAGAGCCTGAGGCCGTGAAAGGCAAGAGGTCCGTTATTAAATACAGAGAAATCTGAATGTACAGTGTAATGGGAAAACAAAACTGTAGTGTAGTGTCTGCTCCCCAGAGTCCTTTCCCAAGGTCAGGCACCTGGATGAGGACCTCCATTCCCTGGGGGCTTAAGGAAAATTCCTGCTTCAGTAAGCAGTCGAGGACTCAAATTTTGTTACCAGGAGACCTAACTTTTCTTTGTTTTCGGTCTTTGATTTTTTTTTTTTTTTTTTTTTTTTTTTTTTTTTTTTTTGAGACAGGATCTTGCTAATTGGTTCTTTTTTTTTTTTTTTTCTCCCTGCAGCCCAGGTTCACCTGCCTCTGCCTCCTGAGTGCAGGGATTAAGGGCAAGTGTCACAGGGTTTCTCTGTTCAACAGTTCTTGTTGCCCTGGAATTTGCTTCGTAGACCAGGCTGGCTTTGAACTCACAGAGATCCTGCCTCTGCCTCCCAAGGACTAGGACTGAAGGCCCCGTGGTGACACTTTTTTTTTTAAAGGTTGTTTTATTGTTTTGATTTAGAGGAAGGTTTTTTATTTGTTTGTTTGTTTGTTTGGGGTGTGTTTTGTTTTGTTTTTCTTTATTTGTTTTCCAGGACAGGGTTTCTCTGTACAGCCCTGGTTGTCCTGGCACTCACTCTGTAGCTGGGCTTGAGTTCAGAACTCAGAGATCTGCCTGTCTG